ATAATGCCTTTCTAGGTCCCAATGCACTGGATTCAGGAGAAAGGTAAAGATCATATTGAGGAACAGTTTGCCCTGAGGGACTCTAACATAGTAGATAAGAGCACTTAAACTGTTCTGCGGCTGTTGAATGATGGGCATATTTAGTAAGGAAGCCTGGAGTGATGATGGGATGGATGCATTGGTATAAAAGTCAGGCTCCTAGCTGTCAGCTAAACCCATCCATAACATAAAATGAACAGACTTTGGATATCTTCTTGTATTAATGCCTATTGTAGAAAAGAAATCCTTGCTAATACTGCAGAGGAATGATCCTCATCTAATAACTTAAAATGAAATCAGTTTTCAGTGGGAGAGTTGCAAATGGCAATTCTTTCATGAATAAGGAAAGATAATTTCCAAGAGTTGACATCCTGCTCTGATAAATATTCATGTCAAAGCCAAGCAAATTTGGAATTTGCATGAGTTCTGACAGTGATGCTGGCTAGCCTAAAAACATCCCTTCTTCTCTTCAGTGACTACTTCTGCTTACCTTGCTATGCACCTTTTGTGGAGCAGCAGGGACCCAGCTGATGCCATTATGGATCAACGTGCCTGATCCAAACATGTAAGTGCAGCTCTGTTTTTCAGGCTTGCCCACCCAGCCTGTGTGATTTCTGCCACGTCCAGGAAGCTGTAAGAAAGAAGGAAGATGTGAATAAGCCCCTTCCTCAGAAGTTATCCAGTAGTAAATTAGGGCTGGGAAATATATCTTCTGAACTGAAGGGACATGTAATGTATAGAAGGTTTTCATGAAACCTGTGTACTGATCCCTGTGGGTAAAGCTAGTATTTGAGCTTTTCTCTCGATAATGCAAGAACTGTTAATTTTCACAGCATTTTCTTTTAACTCTCCTAAACAAGGAACCAAACCTTTTAATACTAGTGATGGTTTAAATATTCTATGCTAAGGCAATGATGAAAGAGACATCTGAGGGATTTCTGAAGGATGGAAATTCCGGCTGCATTTGACCGTTTCTCTTTTAAGAAAATTGTTTTAAAAGCCTGGATATAAATAGTAGTTAGGCAGTACGAAATGAAAGTATGCATTAGAAAACAGTGTTTGGTTCACGTCATTTTTAATGTGGAGCTGTGGGACATGGGGCTCATAATGGAAATGTCTGATATTTTCAGAGTCCTGCTGCAGTCCATCCAAGCCAAGCAGCATAATTCAATGATTGATGGAATTTTGGGGGTGGAAAGAAGCATGGAAGCTGGCTTTTAACTATAGCCCCGTGGTAACATACCTGTGTGCGGTGATAGAGCACCCAAGGGGACTCTAAAAATCCCTGAATTAATAAAGCTGAGTGAGGCGAGAAAAGCCATGTTGCAACAAACCAACAGAAGTGTTGTAGGGGGCAAGGGAGGAAAGAAAACCCCAAGAACTCTTCTCTCCTTTGCTAACAGAGCATAGTAGGCAGCACATGGTCATGTACTATGTGCATTCCTTTTATTTTTCATTTGTTTTCTTGGTCAGCACACCGCAAAGAACAGCAGTGATGGACAGAGCCACAAACCCATAATGACTGCATGTGTTACAAAAATACGGACAGTGCTTACAGGAAAGTGACACAGCAGATTTAAAATGTGTGGTAACATTAAAAATGTCTCTGTTTATTCTGGTTCCCACACTTCGGGGAGTTGCAGGCATGTGCTTTTCCCTTGGCAGGAATCTGACAGGGCACTTAGTGCCTACCGAAGGCTAAGTCAAGTATAGCAGCAGGGCCAGGCCCTGAGGCCGAAGCAGCAGACTTCATCATCCATCATCCCCTGACAGATGATTTTCTGGCTCTCTATTACATGGGGAGAAAATGTTCACACAATGCACAATGAGTACATGCACAGGGAGAATCTCCTTTGCACAATACTTTTGTTATCTGTGACCAAATGCTCATTTTATGAAGAGCATTCAATTAGCTTACATAAGGAAAAAGGTCAAGGAAAAAACCCTTAAAATTTAAGTGGCAACAATTTCCTGGAAGCTGGTTTCCTTAGATCACATAATGCTGGGTATTTTTGTAAAAATGCAAACACGCACAAGATCAAACCCAAACAAGCAAAAATTGTGTTTAGGTGAACGTAAATTTCTGAATTTTTATGGATAGGAAGCTGTTTTCCTGTGAAACTGTTGGCCGTCTGGGGTTGAGGTATCCGCTGTGAGGTGCTCAGGTTTGGATGCAGGCACTTGCATTTCTGCCATGCTGCATTCAGCAAAGGTGGGTTTTGCAGCAGTGGTTCCTGCTCAGAACTGGGAGCCAGCATGCAGGATTCCTGGCTGTGGACATCAGCACAGTGTTTGCATCTCATCTTCAATGCCTCCACATTCTGTATTTCTTCACCTCACAGGGGAAAATCACTTTCAAAAATGGTAAATGTTATTGAATTTTGATAAAGGAGTTAGTTATCTAAGGAACAACACAGATTTATCTACTAAGCTTAATGTGTTTTTTATTAATTATTAGGCGCTGTGATGATGACCTTGTTTTTGCATGTTAAAGAAAAATGTCTAGAGCTTTATTAACTAGTCAGCATCTCTGGGTACTTGTATGCAGCCACCAAATAAGCTGCAGAAATGGGCACTCACTGATGTGTGCTATCGACACTTTGGGAAGCGGAAGGGATTTTCTGGCATTTACTGTATCTGTCATAGAAAATTCAGATCAGATCCTTAACATTGGCTTTTCCTATCAAGGTCATCCAAACCACTAAAAAGTCGGGAGCTGCGGAAGGAAATTCTAAGAGTTCTCATGTGGTCATTGCTAGAGAAATCATTTCCTTCATATCCATATGTTCAGCATATTTGCCTTGTTCTATCTTTGGTGAAGTTGTGGCATGGCTTTCAGGGAGGAGAGGAAGACAAAAAGAAACCTTGCAGAGAAAAACATTTTGGCCAACCTGTTTTGAAAAGTGCTATTGAATCATTAAACTCAGCAGAATGCTCATTTTCCTATGGGTATGGAAGCAACAGGAAATTCTTTTTCTCCCGTCCCTTCTCAGCCACCCTGTTTCTCCAGCTCACAGCTAAGGCTGGAGGAGTTCATTGTCATCTTACCTTTCCAACTGACATACCAATGTTATGAAAGGAATTGTTTCGCCAAGTATGGTGTGTTGGTCCCATCCTGCCAATGTGATGTAGCAAATATCCCAAGATTTTGAGCACTGTGAATGGACTCTAGCTGGCTGTCTTAATGTGTAACATTAATGGATGCCTTCTTTTCTATTTTCCTATCTGCTAAACACTGATCGGCTAAACATCGTCCAAAGCACGTGGCACAAACAGACCTCACTGAGCTCCTTGTGTTTGCTTTATTTTTTATAGAACTACCTGCACTGAACTTGCACGATGAATTTTTTCTGCGTCTAGAAAGGAAATAAAAGTACGAGCCTGAATTTTGGCTGCGAACAGAATACTCCTTTCTGCAGTTTCTTCTTTCCCCCTGTATTTACCAGTTTGTTGCAGCTATTGTAGTTGATGTGATCCAAACATACCAACTACATATGTGTGCATTGTGGTTCCTGGTGTCTGAATCTAATGCAGCTAATTACTGGGTGGCTCAGCCTAAATAAGTGGCCTTAATGAGATCCAAGACAGCCCAACTTTGAGCAGAGGGTGGACAGGATTACCCCAGAGGTCTGCTGATGGACAGAATTTTAAAATTGTATCTTTTTGAGCTGGGTCCTTGTGTACAGTACTCCGCTAGCAAGGTCTCATAAAGACAGACTGGTCTGTCCACAGCAGCCCAATGGCTTTGGAGGGTATTCATCCACTCAAGTTACTTCTCGGTGGGAGGAGTGTGCCCTTTGGTTCCCATTTTCCTCGCAGTGCAGAGGATTACTCTGGGTAGGTACTCATTGCTTGGTCAGAAGCGTTGTCTCTGCAAAAAAGATGACTGGATGTTCTGCAGAAACTTGCTGTGTATGCTGACATGTTAAGAGGGCATAATAGTAATGTAGGTCTTAGTGTACAGTTTGTGGCATGCTTTAGGCCATTCAGGGAAAGCAAGCTGAGAGACTGAGCTGAGCTGTGGCAGAAGTTGGAGCCATATTAGTGTGTTCACATGCTCATGTGCTGAGCACACTCAAACAGTGATGCTGAGACAGCTGTGAACCCAGAGATTACACTGCCATGAAAAGGAAGACCCATAAGATGGAGGTTGAAGGAGGTTTTGGCTTAAAGTAGGCCAATGACCAGTAATTAACCCTAGCTGGAGAGTTTCCTATGCTGCCTTGCACTGACCTACAGCCTTACCTGGGATTGCAAGCTGATTTATGCTGTTGTCTGCTTGCAGCTGTATTAAAAAAATAAAATAAAAAAAATTTAAAAGAGAAGCCTTTTTCTAAACAAGATTTTTATGGTTTTTTTTTTCCAATCAAAATGCCTCTTATGCGAGCACCAGTCCTATATCCTTTCTCAAATGCAGAAAACCCTCACAGAAAAGGCCCAAGTGATGTGAGGAGCCCTTTCCAGAGAGCAGATTGTCAGGAGAAATGTTCTTGTCAGTGGTATAAAGAAAGGGAGGTCTAAAACACCTTCACTTTGTGTTTTGTTTTGCCTATTTGGGGATGTTTTTCTTTAAAAAATGGTGTAAACCTGATATTATTATATATTTGTAATGAAGCAGGAAATTCTTGGTAAGCCAGAAACTACCTGTGGTCACTGCAATGCAATGGAACTAATCTAATCTAAAATCTAATGCCTGAAGCTTAGGGATGCAAAAAATCCCAGTTTCAAGGAGATAGGGAAAGAGGTGCTGCAGATTTCTTAATCAAAATTTCATTGTATTTGTGAATGAATAATTATTTGACCAATTATCACTGTTGTTGGGGAAAAAATCAGCTGCTCACTGAATGGTTTTACTTACTCTTTTCTCTCCCTCCTGAGAAGTTACATTTTTTCATTCACTGTTGGCAGAGATTAAAGTATCATTTGCTGAACACTCAAACAGTTTGGTTTTATTTTCCCAGGTTTCTGAGAAGAGAGCCAGCAGTGAAACCTGGAGGCTGTTGCAGCTAATCAAGTCATGATGGAAAGGTAAGAAATTATCTTTTTTTTTTCTTCCCTAGAGTTTGGGCTTCATTCCTTCATTTCAGTGCTGCTCACAGCTGTATTTCCAAAATTTATCATGTCATCTTACAGATACATTTTCCTGGAATTTCAATATCCATCTCTCACATTTTCTGTGGAAGGAAAATAAAAGACTTAATCCAGCTGTTTTGATCAGCAGAAACTGGTGAAAGTTCTTCCGTGTGCAAAAGAGATCCTGTCACTCCTGTCAGGGGAGCTGTTTCACAGAGGGCTTGGGGTGAGGCTGTGAGAGCCTTTATTCAAGAAGATGGGAGGCTCACACGCAATTTTACACGACTTGGTTGGGAGTGTTCAAGCTGTGGTTTGGGTCTGTGATTGGTGCCTGCAGTCAGGTTTTGTACCGTCTGTGTGTTGAAACAGGAAGAGTAAAAAAGGACAGCACTGCTACCTTCAGATCTGTCAGCAATCTCAATTTTTCTACTGTTAATTTTATTTAATTCTAACTTTGGCTTACTAGCACAAGTATTCCTGAGTACAGCCTGTGTCAGCTGTCTATATTCATAATAGATATTCATAATCTGTTGCTATTTGTTCAGCAATCTCGGCCAAGAACATCCCAGAATTGACAGTTTCAAAATCTTTTTGTTTATGGGAAATTTTACACATTGGATTTTCCAAACACTCAGCTGGGGAGTGATCACTGCAAACATCTGAGAACACTTTAGCTATCCTAATTCTCTCACGATGTCTTACTAATATCCAAAGGAACAACTGCTCATTTCATAAAGTAGTCTGCCAGGTTTCTTCAGAAGTTGTCTTAAATATTCTAAGCACACATAATCTCAAATACATTGTTCTGCTCCTTCCCAAATAACGCTCTCATAGGATATCTCAGGATATCCTTTTTGAAGCATGTAGTCCCTTTGGGAGATGATTTAACTAGAGGACAGCCTTACTGCATGCCTTCTGTGCAGGAGCAAATTTTGTCCTACTTGAGTCTCTTTTAAGGATAAGTAAGTGTAAGTTGACCACCACATTTGGAATTCAGTTTTGTCTTTTAGTTCTGGTTAAAATAAATGCTCCTGAATTTTAAAAGTTCAAAGGTTCATTAAAATGCGTTCAGCGCTGCCTCTGGGGTCATACCTAAAGTATTTGTAGGAAAGCAATGTTAGTATACAATTTGCAAAGCAATAACCCATATCCCAAGTGAAAAGGAAGCACTGTGAAGCTAAAAGCTAAATAATAAATACTGATGAACAGGAAAATCACTGTTGGAAAAAGTAGTAAATCCCAAGGTTTGATTGTTTTGCTCTTGCTTGCTAACTTCTGTACAGTTTTGCTGATGCCTTGGGAGAAAGGGTTTTGTCACTTAGGATCACAAAGACAGTTTTCAAAATGCTACCAACACATTCTGTCCTGCTCACCTCCCCCCCAAAAAAAAAAGAAAAAAAAAAGCAAGCAGCATTTTGGCAACCAGTACAAGCAATAACAGAGAGGCTTCTGCCAATTATTATTGGCAATTATTGATGATAATGACTTGCTAGGTGCTGCAGGAAAATAGCAGAACAGGGTAATCATTTCTTTATTTATGTCTTGGTGTGCTGATACTGATTCCTTGATTTACACGGGAAAATGGATGGGCTTTCTGGCACCAGTACTTTAGAGCAGGTCTTCCAAACTTTGTTATGTCCTTATTACATACCCACAGACTTAAAATTAAGCCCAGGTGAAAGTGCTTCCTGGAACTTTGGTTAGGGAGCTTGTTTTGATCAATGAACGAACCTGTGAGTCCTAGCAGAGATGCTCCAGAGCAGGAGCAATGCCAGTGCTTTCAACCTCAGTGCCTCTGCTGCAATAGCGATTGTTATCTGTGATTTCCTGCCCAGGAAAGGTGGTGTGAGCCAGTGTGCTCAGAGGAGTCATTGTTCTGATGTTATAACGTAGTGAAGCTGCCAGGACATAGAAAATTAAATAGCTGCAATCCACTCTCCAAACAATATCACAGTGGATGGCTGGGAACCACCCTGGAAGCTGGGAGCTAAATTTTATAGAGGATTCAGTTCCAAAAAAGGTAAAACCATTCAAATGCAAGACAGCTAACTTACTGGATAAATAATGTAAAACACCCAGGCTGAACAGAAATAATTACAGTGACATCACTGGAAAATAGACTTAGCTGATGAAGAAATTATGTAAAACTACCAACAGTAGTTAAGAGGCTTAGAGAATGACTAATTTTCTTAAGATGCCGAGTGCCATGTGTATTTCTTGCAGAAGCAGTCTAAACACTTGGGGTAATTTAGAAGGCAGACTTAAATTTATATGTAGTAGGAGTTTTTCAAAACTTATTTTTTCAGTAGTGAAAGTGGCTTAGGTAATGCATTATCCATGTATGATTAAAACAGTAAAATTTTGATGATTTCACCTCAACACTCTTACTTTATTATTAATTGGAAATATGCAGAAACTCAGATACTAAAATTCTGGTAGCCTTGTGGTCTGAACTAGAAAGAAAGGTGAGAATTTTAAGGAGAGATGTGTCCATCCCCAAGAGAGATGTGACATCGCCAAGTTTTACAGCAGAGTCAGAATCCCCTCAGTACTAAACCATGTCGTAAGTTTGAGGTGAGGACTAGAGGGAACAGTGGTGAGCTGACAAAGAAAGAAGTGCTCCAGTGCTCCAAAGCAGGTGGATGGACAAAGAACTGTGATTTTAATGGACAGCACCAAATTTGGTGGGGTTTGCTTCCATCCACCTAAAAGTTGGAGTTCTGAGAAGGGCTGACATTGCTTGTGTCTGTAGAAAACACTGCCTGCTTCATCCTTCTCTGGGTTAGCAAAGGGATCAGCAGGTCTTTTATCTATGTTGCATTCAAGCCTTTGCTTGCAGTTGTGCTGCTTATTCTGAAAACATTTGTACATGGCAGCAGCCTTACCAGAAAACAGGAGTATGTGCCACGAGAACACCTTTGCTGTTGGCCCACTCTGCGAGCTGCACGCACAGCACTTGCACTGCTTTTAGGGAAGTATTATGGCTCAGATAGTAGCTCCTATCTTTTCTGAGCCAAATTCAATTGATTGAGCCTTGGCATTGCCTGTGTGTTCTAAAGAATTGGGTCAGTGTAGCCAAAGACTCTGTATTTGGCTACATAACTGCATTTACTACCACTAATAGAGAATGCTGTGGTTTGAGTGTAATACTGCACGGGGGGAAGAAAAAAGAGCAAAATCAGTGCTCACAAGAGAAACAGAAGTATTCCATTCTGTATTTTGAATAATATGAGACTCCTCAAAACTATTTTCACCTTACTTGCATCGTCTACTAATCAAGAAAAGGAACCCAACTTCAGGATACTGAAATAGAATCTCCTCCCAGCCACAACATTTCCTGGAAGAAAATAGCTAGCAATATGTATAAAATAGGGAACACGCTCCAAGGCCAGCCAAGCCTGCCTCCTGCGGATAGTTAATCTGTGGCTATAAATTTATATTGTTCTATGTATTAGTCTTAAATGACTTGTACATATGTCCATTGTTGTCAGTTTAAAAAGTATAGTTGTGAAACTTTGGTTCCAAATGTTGAAACATTTTGTCATATGAAATGAACTGAAAACAGCCCAGTTTTTTCAGCAGGCTAGCTTAGAAGCCTTTTTAGAAGGCTAGCTTAGATAGCAGTGTTTGTAATTATTCTTCACAGGGAAACTGTAGGAATTTTTTTAACTGTTTAACTCTTGCTGTTCTATTGTTTGGAAAGCCTGCTTTCTGCTTATAATGGTCTGATCTGTGCACTGATGTTATTGCAGGTGCTAAAATATGTTATATGTCAATGGCTGATCATTCAAGAGCTCATATACTTTACCTTTCATCATGTAATTTAAGGACTTGAGATGGTCTAAGGACAGGGGGTAAAGTACACAACCAGTGTAACTTCTTTGAAAGGGAGAGTTCCATCTGCAAGGTACTCTCTGCTAATCCTACTTGGCCAAACAGTGAACCATCCTAATAGGGTCTGGTGGAGAGACAAGAGGGCAGAGCTAATGTAGTTGATATGGAACAGGTGGCTTATCGTTTGACACGTTCTTCCACAGTTGATTTTGTGTTTTTTTTTCTTAAGTGTAATTCTGTCCTTTGTACTGGTATGTTTTTGTGGGAGGAAAGAGTCAGAGTCCGTTCATGAGAAAACACTGCTTAGGCTAAAATATAGCAGGGGATAATGTGGTAGCTTGAGTTTCAGGTTTGAGCTCTCTGAAATACCAGGCTTCGGCTCCAGATGAATTTGGCAGCATCTGATTCTCTGCTGTGGAAGTCTCCACACAGCCACCTGAAGTGCCCTCCCTTTGCATTTCCACAAGCTGCAAGGAAGCAGTGAGGCCAAGAGCACACCTGAAAACACAAGGCATGGACCTTCACATAGGCCAGTGCTTTGTCCTTAGGGGGAAGTACACTGTAATTCTGCTAGCCACATCCACAGGAAGTTAAATACTGAAGCTACTAAATCACTAAAATTGTGTAGGCACATAGTTACATCAGCTGGGTGGAAGTAAAGTCCAAAGCAAGTGGAAGAGTTGTTATGCACCCAACTGCTGCCTGCTAGTCTCCTTTTCAAAGAGGTTCCTACATCTGTTAAGCTTATGGCTTCAGGTGATGCCTGGGAGGTATGATCGGATGGTGCACACCTGCAAGCCCTTCTGCTGTCCTAGAGGTTTTAAGGAACAATCAGCAGTTTTAGTTCTTTACACCAGCTGTAGGGTCCTGTGCTGGGAGGAACAATTTTAGCCAGATTTGGGCACCCTGCCTAGTTTTGAGTGACTTACAGGGACTTTGGGTTTGGGAAAATTTTGGATGGGTGAGTAATAATAAGGTACAGCTCGCTTGCCTGGTATCCACTGTGTTCCCTTGCACAGCAGTAAGAAAGAAGTATTTTTTATTAGAGGGTTTGTGGTGGGTTATTGCAGAAAGGCAAAGGGACTGCATTTTGCCTTTCTGCTTTTGTTCCTAGCTGGTTT